CGCGCAGGACGTAGGCGCGAAGTGATCATTGATGCGGATTTGAACGTGCGTGTGTCTAATTGCGGCTACATGTGTGCACGCGAATCGAAAATATTCGCAATGTTCGCGGACGTCCCGTCGAAGTAGATCCCAGTGTGTGACGAGTTTTAACGAATTATTTGTCCCGACCAAGCGTAGGAGCTACTCTTTTTTGATCATTGCGGTATATGACTCATCATTTATATCGTAGTACATAGTTGCAAGTTATCGTTATTACGTTATACGTGTAATGTATATATGATGTATATATAGTACATACAATACAATGTACTCTTTTGATTTAAATATATTCTTTATCTCGAGTACGTTTATGTATGTGTGTGTGTGTGTGTGTGTGTGTATGTATGTGCATCTCCTAATAATATAGAATAGTTCGCGGCCTGCTTAGGCCGTTCTCTAGGACTAGACGATTCTAATTCAGATAGAAAGAGACGCGAACGAACACACCCAACGAATGTCGCGCGGTGCTACACACAACAGCGGCAGTGTCGCATGTGAAATCGCCGACAAACGACCGTATCTTCGGATCTGCGATGAGACTGTTCGGTACGTTCGTCAGTTCGTGCGCAATCTACATGCAATTCTAAAACAGACGAGGACCACTTTATCTTGATAATCTTGATATCTCCGAACTCTTCTTTGCAACGTAGCAAAATAATTAGTGAAATGTGTCCGCGTCAGATCTGACCTATGGCTGCGTTCAGCAGAGAAAGCCGCTTTGCAACCATTGCAAAATTCGTAAATCTGTCTGGTGTGTGCACTTAGACTCAGTCAAGATCAAGAAATATGTACGCCAATCAGATGGACGAGTTTTACGGCGGTTGGGGAGCAGCTTTCTCTGTTGAACGCGGCCATTGGTAAGTCGCGATTTTGTAACTGACAGTAGAGTGTCGAGTTGCGCAATAAGTAATTTCGCATTCTTGAAGGGTGAAGTGAGACGATTGTACTTTCATGTCGTCACAATGTGTTATGAGACGACGTATACGCCACTTTGATCTATGATCTCCCCTCGAGATTGTATAACGACACGAAACCATAATCGTCTCATTATGCAAAATTCGACATTACTTATTACACGAGGCACCTTTATTACACGATTCATCTCTGACCTGTCGAACAAGAACTTTTCGTTGCAATAATTTTGCTTATGCGCTCGTCCAAATGTGAGAAATCGATGTTCTTTACGGGACATACGGCGCGCACGCACAGAGTTCGACGTAGATATCACTAGGCGTAACATTATTTCAATTCTATTCTTCGCAATTTGATTCCCTTCGCGAAGATCGCACCGAATCCGCGCGGTTGCGACGGAAATCCCCGTTTTCGGAGAAGTGAAAGCTGGAGAGTTCGAAATCACGTGTGGTCGTCGCAACGACTTGAAGAGTAGAAGCAAGGGTGGTCGCTACATAGCTTGCCCTCACGCGTCTTCTCGCATAAATAGAAGAAACCGCGAGGGAACTGACGTAAAAGCGTCACGTGTACGGACTTATTTTGGCTGTCGGTGCCGTTAAACGATCTGCTCGCCGCCGATCGTGGAGAGACTTTTCCGCCTGGAGAAGAAAGTGAGAAGACTGGCTTGACTAGATTTGGTGAGGAGTCCTTGGCTAGGCTGTGCACTAGAGAGCTAAAATAGATAACATACGTATCCGGCTACATACATATGTCGGTGGTATTTCGTTGCACCGAGAATCTCGCCATTCTTTCGCCGAGATGAGATTCCCCTAGACTGTTCGGAACCTACTAGGACAACTCTCTCTTATAATCACTTATAATTAGTATAAAAATAATTGGGCAATTTTTAGCAATCTGCAGAGGACTCGGAGACGTCCCAAAAAAGTGTCCTCTCGCTCTTTCGCGCACTTAGGCTGCTTCCGGTTTTGTACGGCTCGAACCAAGTGGGAAGTGTCGCGACGCGACAGAACGCGCGCGGTAGCTAAGATACACGTCGACGCAGAAGCGACTAATAACGAGTCAACAAATAAAACGACTTCAATCACACACACTTTTTTGGTGACTCCCCCGCAAGTCCGAAATATTCAACAATGTTTTCTTACACTTCGCTTCTTTAATCCACTTTTACTCACGGAACGATTCGTGTGAAGTATTTACAGACCCATCTTTTCTGTTCCGAAGTTATCAGTGACAATGAACGAAGAGAGGTTTCAGTCATAGACACAACATACATAGACTCCGCGTACAGTCAGAAAAGTGAAGCCAACATGTACATCAGATCCTCTGTTCTCAGACAAAGTGTGCAGAATTTTAATAAGATTTTAATAAGATTTAAGTAAGACTTTTGCTTGCCAGTCCAGTCAGAGTGTTGCGTTCTATAATATTATGGAAACGTGAAATGGATGCACGCGCAACAAAAAAGTGACAAAATAAAGAGAAAACTATAGCCCCTCTATTCTTGCTCTCTTTCTAGATGTTGGCTTCACTTAATTAGAGGACAGAACGAAGGGCGTTCCGAGTCCATATATATTATGTCCATGGCTGAAGCACAGCACTGAGAAGGAGCACTGTGAAACGAGCGTGTTGCCTGTTACAAATACTTTTCCAGAAAGATAATCCGTTACACCTCACATGAATCGTCCCGAGTACTGTTAAAATGGGATCCAACAAGTGCTAGCCTCACGCCACGATGGCGGATCACTAATGTTTTCTTTTTTTTTTTTAACGTTTACTTATTATTTCCTTGGTTAAAACGCTCGACTTCGTCGTCTCCTTCTAATATCGTACAAGTGGCAAAAGTGAAATTTGCCGTAATCTTACTCTGAGATAAATGAACATCGAACGAAAAGACTTTGAAAATCTTAGTCTTTCTGGCGACTGAAATACATATTGTCTTACGTAATGCACACGTCACTAGTGTTCCGATTCCGGACAAAAACGCTGTTTCGGTATATATATTTATATATGTTTCTCAAACACATCTCTCTTACTTCCCGCGAACTGCTCGCCGTGCGATATCACGCGGAGTGAGAGCTTTATTACGAAGGATGACATCTTTAGTAGCAGTAGATGAAGTAGAAAAAAGAAAAAAAATAAAACAAACTTAACAAAATTTCAAGTGATTCAGGTAAAACGACTTCTTTGGCATTTGCTTTGGCTATAAGAACGCAAATCTCGATTGCGTTTCTCGAGTTGGTATGGCGATTAAAACGACGTCATAGCACGCGATCACGATCTTCCGTCCCCAACTCGACATAAAGAGGAATAAATTAGAATCTTAATAAAAACAAGAAAAATCTTAAATAAAAACAAAAAAAAGACATCGATTTCGCTTGTTATCGTTGCATATCTCTTCTAGAGCGCGTTAAAAAACGAATCTGCAAATTACTCTAGCAACATCTCTACGTAATCGAGATGTGTTAAAAAAGGAAAAAAACTCAACTTATGCGGACCTGTCGAGGAGGAACTGAGGGAAGTGTTGATCGTTGAATTATTTAACCGAGAAATAGTACGGCCAAGTGTTTATAGGCCACTGGCTCAGATTCATGGCTAAAAAGTTTTGAAAACATTTTGAGTTTAAAATAAAGTTTACGGTGCGTGGATCACAAGTACGCAAATGCTAAAGTGGTCGAACCTCAGGTTATATGGTCCATTAAAAATTCCACTTTCACGAGATGACGCCACTGCTCTCCGCGTTGAACTGCAGCCGCGGTTATTGCGCGCCAAAACACCCTCATATCTTTCTGATCTTCATTATCTTGATAGATAATACAGATCGATCTAATTCGAAAGGAACTGCACTTTCCTCTCGCGAAAGCATAGCGCCATCTCGTGGAAGTGCAATTTTCAATGGCTGATATTTCCGAAACCTAAAGTCCGACCACTTTGGCACTTGCATATTTGTAATCTACGCACTGTAAACTTTATTTCAAGTCCAGAAAAGTTTGAAAACTTTTGACCATGAGCCAAACTATGGGCCGCACTCTTTGTCTCGCCCCTCACGTTTCTGTAAAACACTAGAGATGTGAGAATTAAAGATTTTTTATGTCGAATCGAATCGATGAAATTTCACCCGAATCGAATCGAATAAAATCGAATTGAATCGTTGAAAGAATTTTTAATTAACATAACCATTGAATTCAACGTGAAAATAGTGACTTCAGTATGAGAGAGATAAAATTGATCATGTGATCAATTTCATCATTGTCATTAATTGATTTTATAAGGTAAAAGATATATATATATATAGTCGATAAACATATATGGAATACAGTTCCAGCCTTGAAAGCTGCGCAACGACATATATCAATTCGACAGTTGTCGGTAAGAGTTTATCTAGAAGTCATTATCTTCTTTTAATATTTTTGAAGAAAATCTTAATGTATAGCAAACTTTTAAAATCATGCTAAATCTCATAAGGCTGGATGCCTTTAGTAATACTTCGTTAATGGCACGATTTGTATTTGAATCTTTTTAATTCGAATTATTCGGATTTGAGTCGAATCGAATCAAGTGAAATTCGATTCGAATTCGAATAGTTCGCACATCTCTAGTAAACACGACGAGTCTTCATCTTACGGTTCACCCAACGACAGTCTGCGGGGAGTGAGACCGACTCACTCGACTTTGGCACTCCGATTTGGCACATGGAGAGAAGTTTTCAGGTCGTGCAACCGAACACGGGGACTAGACGAGAAACTCGCTGACGGGAAATAATATCTCCGTTACTGCGACCGAGAACATTCGTCTGAACGTTCAGCTGCGGTTGAAGTAACCGAGAGAGTGACCCCTGCTTAGAGTAGAAACCTCACATGGGAATCCTTCTGTTCCCACCACTGAGTTTTTCATCCGGTTCTCCCACAGCTACCAGAAAACTCAGTTGCACCAACGGAGTCGTTTTCTTCCGCGCATGAATCGTCGGGCCCGATTCCAAATCCCGCTCTACGCAAGCATCACGCAAACCACGACGAGTCACTCTCTTCCTTGCTGATGACGCGTCTCTCGCTGACTGACGACGAGGCCGGGCATCGTTGGGTGCAGGTCGACGTGCCGATGGTTGATGTGCGCCTTCAGGTTGCGCTCGTACTTGGAGCTAAACGAACAGTGAGGGCAACTGAAGGAGGGCGCCTTGCCGCACTCGTATAGCATGTGTCGCTTCAGTATGTACGCGTTCTTGTAACTCTTGCCGCACCTAGAGCAGGTGTGCCGACGGTCGTGCGTCAGGCCGGAGATACTGCTGTTGATCGACTGGTTATTGTTGCGGTTGACGTGCCGCGAGGGACAGTGCAGCCGGGGGCGACGCTGCGGCGCCAACGGTGCCGGCACCTCGCTCGTGGCCGCAGCTGTCGCCGTCGCCGACGACGACGATGCCGTCGTCGTCGCAATGCTCGCGCTCCTGGAGGTGCGTCGCGAGCCGTCGCCGCTCCAGCTCAGCCCGGCGAAGAAACCTGAAAAAGACGCAAGCAGACGGGTCGACGGCTCGATTAGTATCATTGGGCCTAGGAGAAGGGGGCGGGGGTGATGCGCGCGAGGGTGTGCTCCTCATCGGGGAGGGGGCACACGTAGTTACTGTTCTTTACAACGGCGCGGGCCATGCCAACAAAAAAGACATTCAAGATCTCAAGCTTAGCAACAACGAGCATGTGGCGTGTCGGGAGGGACTGGGAACGGGGATGGGGTCTGACTCTCCGGGGGGTAATTGTCTACTTATAGGGACCTTCACGCTGCTGCTTTCACGAAGAAGGTCCTCGTGTTGGACGTGTGTGAGAGTTGAGAATGTCGAACGCAGTGCTGCACTCAAAGAAATATAATGTCATCCTTGGCAGAGTCCTCCTACGTTATGGCCTTGAGAGGATTCTTCTAAAACTAAAAGAAAAATATTCTAATACTCAAAAGAAGAACAACTGTAGCTGCAAGATGTTATTTCCCACCGTATTGCCGTATTTTAACCGCCGCAAAAACTTGTAGTCCAGCAGCACGCAGGAAAACGCAGTGCAACTTTAGCAATAAGCTAGCCACAGTCTTGATGATTCTTCTCACGGTCCAAAATAATCGATTGTGACTAGTCAATTCAGCCCTTAGCCTTACTGCTTGCGTTTTCCTGTGTGCTCCGTTTTAAACACAGAAAGAGTATTCCTCTTCTAATAAAGAGGAACAATATTGTGTTTAGAATATTTCCCTTTTGGTTTCAGAAGAATCCTCTTGAAGTCACATATATATAAGAGGATTCCGCCAAAAATGAGATTATTTTCTTTTGGGTAGGACATTAACCGATGAGAATTTTAGTTGAATGTAATAATCGACAAATCAATAAATCAAATTGATCAATCGTCATATGTGTAGTCACGAATTTCATTAATCGATGAAATTAATTATTAATCAAACATCGATTTGATAAATTGTACATTAATTAATTTCATCAAACAATTCAATTATTCGTGATTACGTACACATTGATTGATCGATCTTCATTACTGATTCGACGGTTGCTTTGGTCAACTGAAATTTACATCGGACAATGCTCCAACACTGACGGAGGGCGATCCGTAATGCTGAAATGCGCCATAAGAGAATTCATATCTCAGCAGAAAAATAGAAAGGCAGAAATCAATTAGAACTCGCGCTAATGATCAGGTGGTAGTCGACAGTTTCCGCTTGATTGGTTTCTGCTTTTCTGTTCTCTGCTTCTCTGCTAAGATATGAATTCTCTCTAAGACGAAGTAAAATTCGACTCCCTGTAACTTTACCGCCCAGCAAAGATCTCGCGAAGATCGACGAGTCTGAGGAAATAGTCGAGCGACTGCGACTATCATGAGGATCGAGATCCTCCATGGATCATTTTCTCAGACGTCGCGCGTGGTTCTGATAGACTGTCTCGTTGTGGCGCAGAGTTAGCTCAACTCAGCAGAATGATTTTGGCAAGTCAAAGTCAGCTTATGAACAAATAGCGCAAAAGACAATAAGAGCGGATCTCAGACTCTTATTGACTTTCTTTTTGTTCTGTTTGCTGATTGTTTATATCTGAGAGCCTGTTACAGAACTACATTTGTAACATCTGTCCAAGTTAGCTTAATATCCCACCTCGGTGCGTCGAAAAGATTCTCATTCCAGCTTGTCCGTAGTACCGTACGTTTCCGCCTGAAACTCACAATCGATTCCGTCAGTTTTTCACGAGATTTTTCTTAAATAAGTGTTTGGAATCAGAATAGGGAAATATCAATACTAGCGTCAATTTTTATTATAGTTTTTTTATTTCTAACAATACTATTTCTTCGAAGCATTCCACGACGATTTTCGCTCTTCTCGTGCTCGTTATGTCCGGGCAATGACAGGCGACTTTGCGGGTCTTCCTCAGTGACGCATACAGAGATTTGCCTCCTGGACTGGAACACCTACGAAAAATTGAACTAGTCAGTATACGGAAGTGATGAGAATTTTCACAGAGACTCACTTGATGCTCACACGGAGAAAATACCAAAGATATCACTTGGCTAAACATGATTGTTATAAGAAAATATTAACGTTACTCTTTGCCCATGCATACAAAAGGATTGTAAGAGCCATAGTAAAAAATGGCTTTAAAAATGGCTTTCTTTGTCGTCTGTTCATGCGTTTTTGAGCGAAACTCGCAGTGCTGTGTGGCGCAACCAAATTCTGCGCGTCTCTTAATCACAGAATTCGTTCTGCAGACCACAACAGAGAGGTTAAGGTTACCAATTTTTGAGGCAATTATACGGAGCATCTAAACATTTCAGACGCAGTAGTGTCTATCTGTACGTTCTACTTGCACATCACAACTTCGTCTGGAATTTTTAGAGACACCCTGTATATGAAAATATATTAATTGAACATTATGTATCATGAGACTGTGAGAATTGTATGTATGAGCATAAAACAACAGCAATTTTTTATGCAATATCTATTTAACCTGAACTCACATAAATTAATTTTATTCTAACCATAGAGAGAATGTGGTTGCAGCAACCATAACAGTTTTCTCCGTGCACTGTTGGAAAAAATTCCCGTTTTATCTTCTGTCACCTGTATAGACATTCCATGAAGGAATTTTTTATTAAACAAATTATTAGGCAATTAAAAGCTAATGCCAATGTTAGAGCGAATATTTAAGCCAAATGTTGGGAGGATAATAATGCCCGACAGTGTCGACACACGCGCCTCCCAATATTTTGCTCTAATATCGGCGTTAGCTCTTAATTGCCTAATAATTTTTTTAAGTTATACATTTTAGAAAGTGTATATATAGAACTTTTTATTAATTATTTATTCGCGCATCCTCTTAAAGGAATTTTACTTCGAAGTAAAATGCAGGAATCTCGAAAATTGGCAAAAGTAATTTTGCAAAATTATATTGCGATAATGCTCTTGACATTAAGAGAACAGGTAAATTCTTTTATTTAGATGCACTTTTCTTCATATCGAGCCTTTTCATAAAAAATAATATTATCTGCATCGAATTGCACATGGAGAAAATATTGCAGTGAAAGTTACGTTAGAATTATATTTTATTTTACAATGCTTTTTTGCAAACCTGAACCATACTGATGCTATAATATAAATTGCTGTAGAAACAGCAAATTCAACGATCTATCGAGTGTACGATATAGAAAACGAAAAAAACATTCAAGTCAATTAAAATAATTTTGTAGTAAAAAACCAGACGTGCATAATATTTGTGGACAAATACATGGAGTAATCTCGGTCATCATTTCTGCATAGTTCAAGATTGGAAAATTTTTTTTGTAATTTTTACCACAACATTATGTCTGCGTGTAGAATGTCCGATACGACGCGGACGACATTCACTGAATGTACAATCACTCGGAAAGCTCGGGAAAGCTTTCTCGCACGAATAAATTATCGGATCAATTATACCGAATAAATTATTGTGAACGCACGAAGTCGGCCAACCAACGATCACAACAAAGATGCCGTTGGTCACAACATTCGCCTCGAATTCCACTTGACGCGAAATCCGCGAAAGTCTGCTATGATATGTCAGAATTGCGGGATGAATAGAACGCGGGCGGGGTGTTGCCTTTCTAGACTTTATTTTGCTCTAAATCGAATACAAGGCGATCTACAAATTGACAAAAAAAAGAGGGAAACAAAGCGTTTTGGAATGTTCGAAAAGTCCAGGAAACAAAAAATGATATGTGTACGTAGAGGAAACAAAAAGGAAAAAAAAAAAACAAAATAACGGAAAGAGGAAGCACGGTAGTATGGAAAAGAATGAAACGGAACCCGAACGTTCGGTCCGTCGCGATCAACGCGAGATCTCGCGGATTTCTCTTCTGTTTCTTTTTCTTTCTTCATTTCTTTCTTTTCTTGAAAATTCACGCGATCGAGAAATATGAGTTCCGGCGCAGGTTCGCGACTGACCCAGCGTTCGCTGCGAGTTCCTTAAAAGCGAGCGACTCTTCTCTTACGTTATACAAACGAAGTATGTCGCCTATAAACGGCGACGCGGCGATGAATTTTTCGCAAACATCACGTTGTGTCTTGACCTTCGTACGCGTGTGCCGGATGTCTCGCATACGGACGTGCGTGTAAGACGCGCATGGCGTGTGTCGTGTGTATATGTGTCTCTCTCTCTCTCTCTCTTTCTCTCTGTGTGTATGTATGCGCGCGCGTGTGTGTGTCTCGCTGTGGATTCGTCGCAAGAGAACAAGCAAAAAATTATCTAGAAAGATTATCGTTATCGTCGTAGCAGTAATCGTTAATAATTGCGTTGCTCTCTAAATAACATTAATATAAAATGAAGGCAAAAAGAAAAAAAAATAATTAATAAATCATCGTTCGTTGGCAAATACATGGCGACAAAGAAGTTACGATTACAAGTAGTATGTTTTGCGTTCGAGGCGCTGAGCGGAAGTTTGCAGTTTTGTTATTTTTACGTGTTCTTTTTCTCGCTCTCTCCCTTTCTCTCTCTTTCACTCTCTCTTTCTTTCTCGCTCACATTCTTACTCATTCGCTCTGTCTCTCCTTTCTACACCTCCTCTTCCTCTCTCTCTCTCTCTCTCTCTCTCTCCCCTTTCACTCTCTTCTCGCTCTCTCATTGTAACTATTTCTGTACAGTCGAGTACTGTGCTTGTACTAAGAGTATCGTACTTAAAAATCGAGTGCGGGACGTTCGTCGAGTGTCCCTTTGGAAAATCATCACGGTGTTCACGATACTGTACGACGGAGAGATCTGGCGTGTTTCCACACGCAGTGAATCGTTATTGCGGGCGTCGATCGGGACAATCGTCGCGGGGCGAAATCCAGGGCGGAAAGGTAAGAGGAGGGCTCTTCGGGCGCGGATCGAACGCGACGTCCCGCACTCGACGCTCTACTCGCGCGCTCGTGGCGCGATTTATAAACTTCGCTATTATTCATTACAGATAATTGTACTGTTAATCAAAGACGCGAACGAAGAAGAAAAGAAAACACACACATCGAAATGCAAAAGAGCGCGAGGAAAGAATTACACGCACTGTCGTGTCTCGTGGAAGTCGCGTTACAAAGGCAACAGAAAAGAAAAATTGCTTACAAGGAGTACGAGGAATACGTGTACGATCTCTATAGAAATAAATACGGAACCGATGAAACGAAACGCAAAAGGGGATCACATGTTGCGGCTGTCGCGAAGATCGGGGG